GAGAGCTATTAGCGTCAGGTTGAATAGTACAGGGCTAGGTATGCCACCCTGGGGAACACCACGGTGGCTGTAATGTAGCGAAGTGTCACCATCCTCGGTTCTCACGAAGAAGGATCGCTCAGACAGATAGCTGCGTAGCCACTGAAACATCCGACCACCCACTCCTACCTCCTTGAGAGCGATGAGGACAGCTTCATGTGTGACGTTATCATACGCCCCTTTAACATCAAGAAATAAAGAAGCGCAGAGACGCTTACGGCCTTTTTCTTGCTGCACGTAGGTGACCAGGTCTATGACGCTATCAATTGATGACCGGCCACGGCGAAATCCCGTCATAGCGTCCGGGTAGATGTTGTGATGCTCCAGGAACCATTCTAGCCGTCCAAGTACCATCCTCTCCATCACTTTGCCCAAGCAACTAGCCAGTGCAATCGGGCGGTATGATGTGAGCACCAATGGTGACTTGCCAGGCTTCAGTAATGGAACCAAACGGCTGGTCTTCCAGTTAACTGGGAGGGTGCCCTCTCGCCACGAGTCGTTGTATATCTCGAGGAGGGCACTCGCACACTCACCACACTCACCTCGCACACTCACCAAGGTGACACAGTGCTCTGTATGATATTCCATCAGGCCCGGGTGCTGATGTCCGTCTACACAAAGCCAGTGCTGCTTGAAGCTCATGAATAGAAAAAAATTGGTCCATGGGGTGATCGTGTGATGTCGTGCCACCGCGTGAGAGCGTGGAGATGTTGGGATCTGCGAGTTGACCAGATAAGTTGGTAAAGAATATTGAAATTACTATTGCTGATTATGGCTGTGCCTTAAGTTCCCATTTGAGAGGGAACGAACCTTCAAAATTGTGTGAATAAAAGTTAGAGTGCTATTTTTGTTTGCCCCTGTTAAATTGACTGTGCGCACGTTTCTTAATTAGAAACTGCACGACATCCAACTGTTGGTAGCATCGAAACACGTCGGAGTCATTTCGTGTCAGATGGCACCCTCATCGTATTTTTTTGTGACAAAATGGGTCTTTTGCCCATTTTGAATAGCTATGTATCTGGAACGATAAGGAAGGAATTATAGCTTGTTCACGAAACGTACCCTCGCGTGGTGTTAGACCACGGATCTGTACTCTTTCGCCTGTGCGCCTGCCTACAAGCTACGGCGGCTAGTTCTATCAGAGTGAAAGGCTCTACGTCTGTGCAGTATCATACACGTAAGCGCCAACACCCCCCCCCCCCCCATTTTATGTCTGCTTAACTTGCTTACGGCACACACTTCACGTTGTATGAGTGATCTTCTAATTGCGCTACAATTTTATGATGCCTACTTCCTATGGTCAGCGTTCTGGCCCTGTGTTTGCATACCAGAGGAAGCGATACTTGATTCACTAAATGGCCCCGCCGCGGTTGTCTAGTGGGTAAGGTACTCGGTTGCTGACCCGTCGGTCGCGGGATCGAATCCCGGCAGCGGCGGCTGCATTTCCAATGGAGGCGGAAACGTTGTAGGCCCGTTTGCTCAGATTTGGGTGCACGTTAAAGAAACCCAGGTGATAGAAATTTACGGAGCCCTCCACTACGGCGTCTCTCGTAATCATGTAGTGGTTTTGAACGTTAAACCCCACATATAAATCGATCAATCAATCGATCGATTAATTCAATCAATCAATTATTCTATTATTCAATAAATCAATTATTCAATCAATCAATCAATTCATCTTGCATTACATATTAGGTACTTCTCAGTAGTCATTGCTTTATGCTCGAAGTAGTGGTGAATAGGTGATGAGGCGTTGTGGCATGTTTGCAAGGACGAAGTAGTTGGAAGTTGGCAAAGGTGGAACTATAGTGATGGACAGACCCACGTCTTTAGGAGCTTCACCCGCAAACAGGACCTCCGGATTTCCTAAGGCGAATGGCGCGAGTGATTCAAAAGATCAATTTTCGCCTATACAAACTAGTTAGGTCGTGCCATCTAGCGAATTAACGAAGTACGCCAGCAATCTCAAAGGCTATGGCAGGAAATTGTTCAATGGCCGTTGTTGCTGCATTGGCTCTCGCTATACTTTCGTTCTGCTGCTACTAGTTTGGCGGCCCCAAAGGACAACGTTGTGTACGGCAACATTCCCTTGAAAGGTTCCACATTGAGGCGGGTAATTTGAGGTGTGCTAACGCACTGCAGACCGCTAAAACGCTATTTTATTTCAAAATAAGCAGTTCCTTGGCACAAAAGTAGCACCAGGCTTCGCTAACTCAGTGCTAGTTTTGGTTTCAAGAAACATGCAAGCTCGTAGTCGTTGCCGGGCTTCGTAAGACCCGCTCTTACGGAGTGATGTTGATGTGAATGTTCGCATTTGTTGGATTTCACAAGTTTTATTAAAACAAAATTGATAGCCCTGTAAAAAAACTTTTCTACTGTTTATTTCTGTTCTTATTTCTAAGTTTATGAATTTTAAGTCATGTGAAGGGTAGAAGTGATTGACTCGAGTTCGTAGTGCTGGCCTCCGCTCCTTCTCGCCACTCGCTCAGCGATATTAGAAGTTGGATCGGGCTCACTTATCTCGCTCTGTTGGCGTGCCAACTACGGGAACTACGGGAAAGATAAAGGCAGCAAGTTATGGCGGGCTGAGAACGAAAGCCGCAGTGAGCCCGAACAAGTCAACCATGCATTCATCGAAGATGGCTTAATCAGGTAACACACGTTTTCCGCAGCTCTGCGGTGTGCTAACCAGGGGAATTCTAATTCCGTGAAGGTATTTCAGCATTTCCTAAAAGCAATAAGTGAGTACAAGAATTTGCTCCCATTATTTGTGAAGGTATTGATTTTGCATGAGTACATGAGTAAACAAAGTTCTCTGCAAGCCTCACTGGATTGACAGAGATGCAGTGTCGCTTGACCAACTGGCAAAGACAGCAGCTAAGCTGCTGTCGGGAAAATGCGTATATTTAAAGGCTTGCATTAGAGTTGGCACGGATACATAGTTTTAGCTTCTTCTACTTGTAGCCTGTAGTTCAAATGACATCATGTAATTATAGGCTTCTACCAGTTCATGAAAATTTGGTAGCCGTGGTTTGAACGTTTGTGGGTCTTTACTTCTAATACTATAACTCAAATACACGTGATGGACTAAAGCTTCTAAAAATTATTACAGAGAATGTCACTGGAGACAACGTTTGACAAGCGAACTTCGCCTAGGTGGCGCTGTTCACCGGATAAGGACATGTCAACTTGACGAAACACTGTTTCCAGGAACGTTCGTTCTCGAAAAACTGATCATCCCGGCTGTGGCGGCTGCATTTCCGATGGAGGCGGAAATGTTGTAGGCCCGCGTGCTCAGATTTGGGTTCACGTTAAAGAACCCCAGGTGGTCGAAATTTCCGGAGCCCTCCACTACGGCGTCTCTCATAATCATGTGGTGGTTTTGGGACGTTAAACCCCACATATCAATCAATCCATCAAATCGAAGAACTGATCGCTTCAAGCCTCTCCGCGCCTGTGAACTTTAGTCTCGTTTGGTACTCAAGTTGTGTAAGAAAACAAGGGGAAGTTGGCGTATCAGCGTTACCAGTTTTTTTTTTGTTACGGGTTTCCTGGCTTTCGTGATGTTCTCTGCAGAATAATGGTGGTTCGGTTATTTTGAGTGTGCAGTGTTGAAATTCAGCTGAACCGATCATTCCCATTTATTGTTACCTAAAATATCTCGCAGTTTCATCATTTCAGTAGTACGAGATATGAACAGTATAAAAGATAACTCACTAAATTAGTAACTTTGGTACCCAGATGGATCACGGGTAAATGCTATACGCAATGACACGACAGCGAATAGCTTTTGATCCCATGACATGAGGGCTTTGAGAAAGACCAAACGTGCAAACATGACTACATGAATATCAAAACATTTATTTACACTACACTTTTAAACATTTTCCATGCGGTGGCACAAAGCACTGAATATCAGACATTGGACAAGAAAGAGATATCACGAGTCTATAGGGACAACGTCACAGAATGGTTATCGTCTTGACATCAGGAAATGCACTCGAAGTTTTCTGTCATTCTTAACGGTAGCAAAGTTTACGTCGTCTTGCCGAAAAGAGGAAGAATTCAAAAGCCACAGGAGCAGTGCTGAAAGGCAATCGAAAGTTGAAAAAATGCTTATTAGAGACCTCTTATACCGTTGACCCCCCCCCCTCTTAATTTTTTCAACTTGTAATACGGATAATCTACTAGGTAGTGCACACAATCGTGGAAGTGCAAAGGGCCAGGTAAACTGTGAAGGATATGTTACATGGATTAAATACTAATTTCGAATAACCGAGTTTGAGAATTTCGTGATTGATGGCAAAATTAAGGAAAAGAGGTAAGTGACGCTCCTTTTTATTGGCTGTTCGCTTCGAACTAAACGGTTACAAATATTGAATACCCTGCCACTACGCAGCCTTCGCCACTGTCTGCTTATCAGATATTCCAATTGAACAGTCTTTGCTATTGAACCAGCTTAGACTACGTTGTCCTGCTCACCACACTATAAATCGAACAACTGAGGAAAGGGTGTATAAAGTAAGTTCCATCTACATCACTGAGCTCTGCTTGAAGTCAGGAAACAGTCAAAAATATAAAAAATGCAGCGGCAGGGCAGTATAATGAAAACCCACAACTACCGAACTTTTACCAACTGTTAGCCCAGGTACACCATAGAAGTCAAAGGAAATTGCATGTATGTGAAAGCACCACTGAAAAACTGTGGATGCATTTAAATGGGTTTCTTCTTTTTTTGCTATCTTTCTAATGTGTTGCCTTGCGGCAGACTAATTTCAGTCATTTTGCTTCCTGTCATTCATTATTGTCTAACATTCATTAATAGTTATTTTGTTATGTCCCACATTGTTTTTATAGACTGTATCGATTTTATCTACTGACAATTTGCCCCCATTTCATAGCCATTGTTTGTAAACAGGGTGTCAGAAGGTATATATTGACAAATATGTACTTACAGAAATCTGGTAAAGAGACGCATAGAGCAAAGGAGAAAGACGTGGTATCGCTAGGGAAAGGGCGACTACTTTCTAGCCGTAGTATCCATGGCCTCCGTATCCGCCATATCCACCGTGTCCGTAGGCGGGCACTGTCTTTCCGTGGGCCGAGTGATAGGGAGCGGCGGCCGGCAGGCTGCTCTTGGTTCCGGGCTCGTTGGTCTTCACCATGGCTCGGAAGCCCCACTTGTCGGCCACGTAGTGCACCTGCCTGTGGCGGCCGTCGATGTCGCCCAGGTAGTACGAGCCGTGCACGGGGCCGTACGCCGTGCCGGTCTCGTGGCGGCCGTTGACGGCGCCGTAGCCATTGACGATGTCGTAGCCGAAGCTGTAGTGGCCGTGGTCCTGTGATGAATAAATAGAGAAACGCGGCCAGTTTTAGGCTGATTTATTATTACCGCCTCTCGGTGGCACTAATATAGCGTTAAGCCTCATTACTGACAGTATACAACGGTAGCGACGCTTCCGAGGCCCCTTTGCTGTGTGCTCGTCGCTACTTTTTCATTCTGCCAGTATGACCCTTGGAAGCATGCCTGCCCATGAGATAGTCCACATTATGTGAAATATGCCCATGTGCGGCTAATGGTTGGAGTGCAACAAAATCTTTCTACTGAACAAGTATTTCGTGGAACCTGCGTTCCCCGAACACCAGTGCCAATGCATCTCTTTCATTTCACCTCTTTCAAACAATAAAGTCTTGGTCATGGCTGAAATGAGGTGTTGACAAATGTCTCCGGCATTACAACACGAACAAGTGCACATGTCCGAAGATGCTGGCTGATGAATAATGAGTAAGGAAGGGCACTCGAACAGAGATGTGTTCATAAATAGCGTCTGAACAGTGAGTTGCTATCTGGGCAAGCTGCTCTGCGTTCAGTATTGCCATCATAGATAGCCATTGAAACAAGAATGAGCAGGACAGAAACAGATGATCTGTCCCATATGTTCAGGTGTCCCTTTGCCTGCCCGTTTTCATTATAAACGAACGTGCACAGAGGACACATACAGAACAGACACTCCTATTAGTCCCTAAGGTTGAACGTCTCTCAAGGTGTACTACCGGTAGAGCCGTAGACTTTACTATAAAACGCGATCACAAAGTAGTTTGAACGTATCTTCAAAAAATTGCAGACGTACAACGTTTGGCAATGTGATGATACTACGGCTGCAAACTAAAGGAAAAAGGGGAAAATATATATCGAGTCAGGTTACATAGTACAATACTGGAATTTTTTTTCGAAACTGTTCCTGTTTAACGCGGCACTGGCGCACTGATACCCCTGCGAGCTGCTGACAAAATCAATTGCGCGAGCTTCACCGGCAATACCCACGTTTTGTTTCCTGTACGTCTTGCTGGAACCTCCGTGGTGCCCGTATCCTCCGTAACCTCCGGCAAGTACCGTGGTCGAGACAACCAGCAGCAGGGTCACCTGCAAAGTGGCACGAAAGCGACAATCAGTAAAGTACGCTGGGTTCCTTAGACGATTTCTTTAAAGAATGAGAGGCCGCTAGAATGGTTTGCCATTTGTTAGTGATGTGATCGTAGTTATATGATCGGCTTCAGATATGTAGAGCAGGTAATCAAAAGGCAATGTTAGTACACACCTTGTTGACTTTAAGCTTGCCATGTCTCACGACTAAGCCAAAGGCTCCCGATTCTATAGCTGACCAAGGCGTCAGTGCTTCAATGTGGGAGGGGGTGAGACGTTCGAAATACATCAGCACCCGTACACTTAGACTCATATGCGCGTTAAATAAACACAGGGTACCACCATAAATAAGCAGTCTCTCATAACGGTGCGCCTCGTGACTACACCGGCAATTTAATCTCACTTTCAGAGGCACTATGGATAGCGTTTTTCGGTGATCTCAGAAGCTACGACACTCGTTACAGCTTCAAATGCCGCCTGTTCCACGGCCAACCCAGCTTCGTACGTTCGTCGACCAACTCACCTGAGCAATCATGTCGGCGGATACGAGTGCACGGTCTGCAGTGAGCCTTGTGGGCGGAGGTGGTTCCCTTTTATAGGGCCGTTTTCAAAGTGAGAAACGCATTCTTGTTGTCTCTATTGTTGTTTGACGGGCTCTGCTCAGGGGGGCACAAAATGCTTTCACCTGCTATTACGCGCGCTCAACGAAACGGCGTGTGTCTTTTTTTTCCCCCGAAAGAATAAACATAGGAAAATAGGACCAGTCGTTCTTTTTTTCCTCCGGGTGAACGCGGGGCGCATGTTTTTGAAGAATGCCGTTCTCCATCGACTGGTTGTCAGTTTTCCGCTGAAAAGCTAGAAGACACATATCCTATAGTCTGGCTTCGTGATATCATAAGTTTACCTCGTATGTACAGTCGCCGGATGGCAACCTTGCGCCACACTTACGCTTTGACGTCTCAGTCAATGCGTAATCCATCGCTCAAGTCAAGCTTTAAGCCGCTAGTTTGACTGCGAAATGAACCTCGTAATTCATGGATTTGCATTTATATCGTACTTATGAACGACGCATAAAAAACACACGGAACACAGATGACGAAAAGCGCACAGACACACGTGCCAGACTCGCAACTAATTTTTATTCACGTTGACACACACATATTTTGAGCACGCGGTCCGAAAAACATGTCACACAGCCCGAAAGGCTTGTCATAAATTTTTGTTCAAGCAAGATACCTCCTTTTGTTGCAAGGTAATAGATGAAACGCTGAGACATGAGTTGATGTTAGAAATGTGCAAAGACCCTATTATTTCCCGAGTTGTCTGATCGTTACTCATAGCGATGATGGTTGATTTTGATTGATTTGTGGGGTTTAACGTCCCAAAACCACCATTTGATTATGAGAGACGCCGTAGTGAAGGGCTCCGGAAATTTTGACCACCTGGGGTTCTTTAACGTGCACCCAAATCTGAGTACACGGGCCTACAACATTTCCGCCTCCATTAGCGATGATGGTAGTTTTTTCAAATTGAGGGACGCACTCACACTCCCTGCAGTGCTCGCCTACTTGGACCACGTGTTTGTATATACGAGTGTGTCGACGGGAATAAAAATTAGTGACGAGGCTGGCGCTCGTGTTTGTGTAGTTTTCTTCATCTGTGTTCCGTGTGTTCATAACTATGAACCAACACCAATGCGTCGTTTATAACTATGAGCAAACACCAACTAGCCCAACTGTCAGTGCTATTAGATATACACATATACTTTGAACGGGCTGCCACATGCGTGAGATGGTGGGAATCGTTATTTCCAGTGAACAAACAAGAAAGTTGGCATCTCTTTTTTTTTTCTCAGATCTGTCGGTCCGAGCTTGTCGTTATTGTTTGTGATGTGACTGTAGTGGTGCTAAAATAAGCATGCACTCACAGTCTAGGCTTCATTAAACAATGCATGTGTTTTCTGAACATGTTCGTCATTTTTTCTTTATGTCGGGCATGCCTTAGGTATCACATTATATATGATATGAATTATTCTGAAATGCGGCCATTATTACCACTGCAAACCGAACACTTGTTGCAAACTGAACCATAAGTTTATTGTCTATTCATCCATCAATTACAGCGGGCTGCCCCAGCCGTTATTGAGGGATAGTGCAATTTTAGCCTGTGTGAAAATCTTGGAAATGTACTTAATCAGAGTGAAGGGACAATTGCAAAGCAGTTGTTAGAGCTTGGTAAGCTTGATGAGAGGGCCGTGTATTCGGCTACCATCGACTGGAAGTATATTGTAAATTGTTTAGCGTCACCCCATGTGACTTAAACTAGGTGCAACAAAAATTAAGAAAAAAACTTTGACCGAGTTTTTAATGAAGTCACGTAATATGGTTGGAAGGCGAAGGCTCACTTTTTCTTTTCAGCCGGTCACGTTGATCCTACTTTGCCACCCTCCGAAAGCATTGCTCATCCAACGCGGTTATCCACCTTCTCCGCAGTCAGAGGTTCTTCCCCTTATTTTGCGTCGTGCCAGTGATCAGCGCATTTCCGAACAACATGCGGTACATGTGCTTACATTATCCTGTGAGGCTACATAACGTTACGTCCTTTTGACATCGCAATGTCATCAAAAGAACGGCCCAAACTTGATCACTGCGGAGAGATATCGTGACAATCATATGACGACGTCTTTTTAGTTCCCTCGCGTTGACGCAGCCGTGTGCAACAGGTACAAATAAACTTTAGCTTTACAAAAAAAAAGTGGGTCAGTGCAACTGAATTTTCTCACCTCTCTTTAAAGATGTTCTTTTGAATTCTTTTTGTGTAAAACATCAGTTATAGCATGCACAAACGTACTAATTCATGAAATAAGGTATAGGGAGCCCAAAGAAGTTCTGAAATATGTTTGTTGTCCACGGTACCTCTTCACCTCCACGATTTCGAGCAACATGTACAAGAGTTACCTGGTATAAACTGTGACGATAAGTCTTCAGATTGTATAGTTGGCATGAAAGGAAGTATTTCTTAGAGTGAGCTTCTGAGACCCCACACAAGTGGAAGTCTTGCAAATGTGTCTGTTGCACCACGCTGGTTTTGAGAAGTTAATACTCAAAACCCCAAAGACAAGCCAAGCGGGACCTTAAGCTTACTGTAAAAAAGCCCATGTTTGCGAAGACTAACAGAATCAGAGACGAAAATTACGCATGGAATGTTGTCCCTCAACATTGCACACCCGGCTATTGACAACAGAGCTCAGAACAGCTTGATGAGTACACTAGAATTATTTCGGACCCACCACGGTATGAACCTGCTTTTCGATGTACAGTGGTGAGCACTGTTTGGTGAACACGAGAGCACGTGGCCAATGATACTGTCAGCGCTGCGTAGCACCTATAGTCGGAAACATCGCGCATGCTCAGCATGTGCTCTGCGATACACACTTTCCACCATGCGCACCACGTCATGGGTACGCTTGCTCGTCGTCTGCTAGGCGCATTTCGGTCAGTTAAGCTGGCGTATCCTGCTTTTCAAGGTTCATTGCGGTAAAAATTGGTGCGCCATTACTAAATGAGTACAGAATAGCTAACTTTCAAGCTGTGCATTACAGATAACTGCGCTAAGAAGGAAATAACTTAAAATGAAGTATGCATCAGTTTATTAGACAAAAAGCGGGTCGCAGATGACGAACAAGCGTATCCAAGTCGTAGTGCGCATGGTGGAAAGAGTGTATTGCAGAGAACATGCTGAGCATGCATTATGTTTCAGACTATAGGTGTTACGCAGCGCTGACAGTGTCATTGGCCACGCGCTCTCGTGTTCACCAAAACAGCGCTCACTGCTATACTGTAGCGGTAGCATGTATGTCGTCGTTATATAGATATATCGAGTGCTTAGAATTACGTTTGCTTTATAGCCAAGCCATTGTGGTCAAGGTTTTTCGGTGTCTTAGATGGAGAAATATTACCGTCACGAACTGGCAAGCACTCAATGAAATGCCAAACACAATGACAGATAGGGAAGCTGAAACGTCCCACCGTATCTGCCGTGAATCACGAATGTAGCGTTAGTTGCCAGAAAGCACGAAATCATGGAGTGGTAATTACTCGCAGTACGATAGGAGCGTTAAAGGATTTTGCTCGCAATATGATTTCCAGGTTCATCAGAACAGAGGATACACCCCTGTAAACTGGGAAGCTTTAGCCGCCCAGCTTAAACAGAAAGCAATAAACACCGGGTGCCACTTCACTTCTCTTCCTTCGCGAACATTATAGAAGAACCACGTACATAGAAGCAGGCGCACCAACCGCTCTTTCTTTCTTTTTGCGCAACTTTGTTGCTGCCTACCGTCGAGATTTATCAAAAGCAGAGCTAGGGATATTCTAAAATGTAACTTACTAGTAACCGAGAGATCGTTGCTCATTAGCGACCAATAAATGAATCACTTCGTAGCTTCATTTATTGGTCCCTATCTATAACATATTATATAAACAAGGTAAAAAAGTTTTAAAAATTTTATTGATAAATTATCCCTCTGTGTTGCTAATTACACTACTATTGCAGCAAGAAGATGCTTGGTAAAGCAGCACACACGCTAAAAAAGTGCAGCTGGCAAAACCACCTCGATCTTCTTGATGTCCTGAAATTTGACGGCATCAACAGGACCATACATGAATCGGTATCAGTAAAGATGATTCGCATTGTCATCTGTGGCCTCTATGTAATTACCCTAAAGGTATGCATGGTTTTAGGGGCGAAACTTCTTACGACGTGGGTCGTACGTCTTGTGTTACGCCGTGCTCGTGCGTCTTGTTTTTCGAATGTCCCATGGATGGCGGTAATTGTATATGATGAATGTATGATGAAAAGGTGCGAAGTGGCGGTACTTGGAGTGTTCACTAGATGGACGGAAGGAAGGACGGATGAATGGACGGACAGACGGACAGACGGACAGACGGACAGACAGATGGATGGACGGACGGACAGACAGATGGATGGACGGATGGACGGACAGACAGACAGACAGACGGATGGACAGACAGACAGACAGACGGATGGACAGACGGATGGACGGATGGACGGATGGACGGATGGACGGATGGACGGATGGACAGACAGACAGACAGACGGATGGACAGACGGATGGACAGACAGACGGATGGACGGACGGATGGACAGACGGATGGACAGACGGACAGACGGACAGACGGACGGACAGACAGACGGACGGACTGACAGACAGACGGACGGATGGACAGACGGACGGACTGACAGACAGACGGACGGATGGACAGACAGACGGATGGACAGACAGACAGACAGACGGATGGACAGACAGACGGATGGACAGACAGACAGACAGACGGATGGACAGACAGACAGACAGACAGACGGATGGACAGACAGACAGACAGACAGACAGACGGATGGACAGACAGACAGACGGATGGACAGACAGACAGACGGATGGACAGACAGACAGACAGACAGAAGGACGGACGGATGGACAGACGTACGCACGCCCACACAGGCGAACGCAATGACGCACAGATGGATGGACG